TTTTTGTTTCTCTTTGATAAGAATATTTCTCTTTGATTATAATGTTTATTTCTCTTTAGAATCCAAAATTACATCGTTACAGGTACACCCTGCACATTTCCTTCTTCTTTTCCAACCTCTATAAATTAATTATTTTTTTAGTTTAATATAATTATTTTTTTAGTTTAATATAATTACTTTTACATTTTTATTAATAGTAATAAATTAAGGAAAGTTGAGAGAAAGAACTCCAGTTTGAATATGCAAGTCTACTGTGATGGCTATTATGATTTAATGGCTTTTGTGTAGACCACGATTGTTTGATAGCTATAGTGTTGGCAACAATTGTTCGATAGATATTGTTATGGATACTATTGTTAGATGGCTTTTGTGTTTGCTACTATTGTTTAATGGCTATTGCATTGGCTCATATTGTTCAATGGCTATTGTGTTGGATGCTGTTGTTTAATGGCTATTGTATTGGTCTCTATTGTTTGATAACAACTGTGTTGGATTCTATTGTTTAATGGCTTTTGTGTTGGCTACTATTGTATAAAGACTATTATAATGGTCTCTATTGTTCAATTGCTATTGTGTTCTATACTAATGATTGATGGTTTTTGTGAGGGCTACTATTGTTAAACGGCTATTGTATTGAGCTCTGTTGTTTAATGGCTGTTGTGTTGGATACTATTGTTTGATGGTTTTTGAGTTAGTTACTATTGTTTCATAGCTATTCTATTGGCGTCTATTGTTCAATAGGTATTGGCTATTGTTTAATGAGTGTTGGCTGCTATTGTTTAATGGCTATTGCATTAGTCTCTAATGTTTAGTGGCCATTGAGTTAGATACTATTGTTTAATGGCTATTGTGTTGATTAAAATTTTTTAAAATCAATTTTTGCTGCGCATTATTTTTTATGATGTTGGAGATACTATTGTTTAATGACTCTTGCGTTGGCTACTATTGTTTAATGGATATTATCTTGCATTATTTTGTCACAGATATCGTTAAAACTGAGGACAATAATTTCACTCCTAACAGGAAAAAACTTATGCTTGAGAGCAAAATGGTTTCTTTGAATGCTTTTGTTTTAACATTAAATTTACGTAATTTTCTATTTAATATTTTTTTATTATTTATAATGAACTTTATAATTAAAATAAGTAAAGTATAAATTATTCGTTTGAGAGTTGATTTAATTCCACTTTTTAAATAAAAGCAGTAAAAAATGTTAAAACAAAGTTGATCTTTAACATTTGAGAGTTAATTTTTTGCTTTCAATTCAAATGCATATGCTTTCAATTCAAATAACAAAATTAGTTAAGTTGCATTGCATAAAATTGTTGCATAAACTTGATCGAAAAATTAGAAACAGTACTAACATTAAATTTTTTTTTAGAAAAACAAACAAACATACTTCGATAATAAAGTAAGAATTAGGACGGATTAGATTATCAAGCGAACCAGGTTGAAATACGAAATATAACAATTTGGTTTCTACAATGCTCTTCTTCCGAACTGATAATAGTTCTGCATGATATGTTTTCATTCGTTTTCATTTCGTTGTTTCATTCATATTCAGGTTTCAAGTAAAATATGCGTCATATTGCTCTCGTTGTTGGACTAATTTTGGATAGTTTTCTTGGTTTTCTTCTCAATGCAACTCGAAAGCTTATTAAATATAAGATTGTTCTGTTAAAATAGAGATTGTTCTGAAAATGTAACTAAAAATGGTACAGAATTTATTATTAAGAGCCGCACACCCACTTTATTGACCTGTTAATTTTCTGTCGGTAATAAATATTTATAAAACAATTTAATAATCCAAGACCAAGACTGATGCCACCGTTCAGAAACCAATTTAAGTTTTGATTTTAGAATAGTAGAAAAAAATTTAACGGTTTTTGAAAGATGAGAAAAAAGCATTTCAAAAAATTAAAAAGGCTGATATCAAAAAGTTATAGATTAAGTGAACAACTTCATTTTAACGCTTTTCGTAAATTGTTAGTAGGTAGTCTTTTTTTCTTACTTTCAGTGAAATAGAAATTATATATATA